TTTATCTTTTGTTTCAACCTGGGGATATAATATTCTTGCTGCACCATTCGAATCATGAGCTGTTTGTCAGCGTGGAGAAGAGTAGTATGTCGAGCAGCAGAGAACAGAGCTTTGAATTTTCTGGAATTATGATCGGGTGACGCTCATTGTAACTAAGAGCTGCATACGTTAAACGTCCATTCACACGCAGAATTCCAGATTGGTTTCCTGCACTTAAGGAGTTAAGTTCGGCGGTATAGTATTGGCTTTGAGTCTGAGCGATGATACGTAATTTGACTTGGTTTATTTCACCTTGCGTTAGGGGGAGAGATGTGGGCATCGGTTGCTTTCTAGCTGCGTTTATAAATCGATACATAAACGCTACTTGTAATAATATTGTTAGTCAATAAATGCCACTGTCTGGGCAGTATTGAATATTAGGTGAAAAGTATGAACGCACCATCAATGTTTTGTATGAATGCACCCATCAACATATTGTATGAAGGCGGCCATAAATGTATTGTATGAATGTACCCAACAATATATTGTATGAACTCACCCATCAATGTTTTGTGTAAAAGCACCAAGGAAAATGTATTGGTATGAGAGGGTATCGCACATCACTAGCTCGAGTAAAAAATAAAAACTACCATTTTCACGTGTAATTAAAGTCTTTTAACTAACCCCTAAGGGCCGTTTGCACCATGTCTAGTTAACGCTAACTGGAGGTACATCCTTCAGTTAAGCACATCCACTGCTTTATCGATCACATGTTATATGATGGGTGTCGATAACGTCGATAAAGATGTTTAACTGGGAGTTAGAATTAACTAGACATGGTGCAAACGGCCCTAAATATACAAACGTTACATGTGGGGTGTTCACAGTTCGTTCCAAGTTGTGTCTGAAAATGTAGACGTCTACATTTTGAGACATCTTTAGCATCAAACTGTGAGCACCCCTTTCTAGCAGTCGTCGCAAAATCGTCTCAAAACTTTGCTGGTATGCCACACATTTCTTCTTTGCGTGCTTTTTTATATGTCGCCTTTCGATTTTGTTTCTGAAAAATTGTAATTATTTAACTTAATTACCAATTCCTAATATTTCCTATTTCTTTTCCTTGATTTGTTTCTTTTCATCAGAAATTGCGCTCAAATTAAATGCAAATACAGAAAACGTGCCCAATAAATAAAAAAAATGCGATTAGTATTGCCATAATGCAACCCTGCTGCGAGGTTGCAAAATGTAGACGCGTAAAAAACATACCTTTGAGTGTGACAAAATGTAGACGGCGTCGTTTTCCAATTTTGTATGGGAAACAACAACACCACAGATTTTACGGTTAGAAAACGTCTTAAAATGTAGACGTCTACATTTTGAGACACTATTTGGAACGAACTGTGAACACCCCAATGGTGTCAGGGGCAAAATTATTAAACAACGACTGAAAAATATTTTGGAAAGTGGATTACCAAGACGATAGCCAATTTTTGTGGATTAACGAAAATCGAATTATATGCGGCATCGAACAAAGGCTTCCTGTTGGGAAATTGAACGCCATTTTGTAAATCGCCGGATTTTGAGGACATCACGCGGTGGAGAGTCGATATAATCACCAGTTTAGCATCATAAAAATATTTGTCGTAAATATTTTGGATTATTGCTTGAAAATTCGTACATTTAACTCAAACTCATGTCGAACGAGCGACTGCCAACGGAATTGGACTGCGCAGATTTGGCGAAGTGGTGGCCAATGTGGAAACGTACATTTTTAATGTACATGATGGCAACGGGGAAAAATGTTAAAACGGAACCAGAAAAAATAGCAACGTTTTTGTGGTTAATCGGCTCCCAAGCTATGGAGATATACAACACATTGTTCCCGAACGATGGGACAACTGATGGGATTCTGGGAAATCAAAATGCTGAGGCTGTGTCACCAAATTCCAATAATAATCCGCGATCCCTGGATGATGTTTTGAAAGCATTTGATGGATATTGTATACCAAAGAAGAACATACTAATGGAATCGTTCAAATTTCACAATATTGTACAAAAAGAAAAGCAGCCTTTTGTTGAGTTTGAAACAGAGCTTCGAAAACAGATCGAGTTTTGTGAATACAAATTGGATGGACAATCATACAATGATCGTATGTTGAAGGAACGAATTGTCATTGGTGTGCATGACAAGAAGTTACAATTGAAGTTATTGGAAGGAAAGGATGAGTCATTGCAGAAAGTCATTGAAACGTGCAAGATGTATGAGGCTGCAAATGCACATAAGGCGTTGTTGAACACAACTAGTCAAACAAGTGTTAACAGTGTGGCTGAACAGGAGCCAAAGGAAACAGTCAACGCAGTAGCACGTCGTTGCTATAACTGTGGTGGCGATTTCGCAGCAAGGCATTTGGAAACATGCAAAGCTAGAGATATCAATTGCCGATCATGTGGACGCAAAGGTCATTTCCAACGTTGGTGCAAATCAAAAGGAAAGCAAGCGGGCAACAAAGGAACGAAACCGGACATCAGCTATAACCATGTAAAACAACAGCAACATTCCCTCAACTGGGAAGGCACAGGTAATTTTGTACAAAACATTGATGAAAGTGCGAATAGGTTTATTATGGTAGATTGTATTTATAGAATAAATTCAAACTATGTTGGAAATGAGAGGAAGCGATGGTACAAGGAATACCGAATAGCGAATAAATTGGTTAGATTTAAGCTTGATACAGGATCGGATGTAGACTGCATTCCGGCCAGGATATTTAAAACTTTTGGAATAAGATTAGAAAACAAAAATGAAAATTATTCGGTTTATGATTATAATGGAAATAAAGTAAGTGTTTTCGGAACAGTTAAATTAAAATGTTTGGATGAACAGTCAAACACGGAACAGTCGTCTCACTTTATTGTTGTCGATGACGTGTGCGAACCGATTCTAGGACTCGAGTCATGTGAAAGATTCGGATTGGTAAGGCGAACTGATGTAGGGTCGGTCGTGTGCTTGTCACAAACAAGGGAGGAGTTTATGCAAAATAATCGTTATGTTTTTGAGGGGTTGGGTAAATTTCAGGGAAAATTCGTAATAAATATGAAAGAAAACTCCAAACCAGTCCTGCACTATAAGAAACGGATACCAATGTCATTGTTAGATAGATTGAAGTCGCAACTTGATAAAATGGTACAGGATGGAATCATTGCACACGTGGATTACCCCACTGACTGGGTCAACAATGTACAGATAGTTGAAAAGCCTAACTCAAATGAACTTCGAATTTGTTTAGATCCTAAGCCACGCAATGAATGTATTAGGCGGGAACATTTTTTGATTCCGACGGTTGATGACTTAATGTCGGGTTTGGCAAATAAAAGAATTTTTTCGGTTCTTGATTTGAAAAGTGGTTATTGGCAAATGGAATTAGACGAAGCAAGTTCTAATTTAACAACGTTTATGACTCCGTTTGGGAGGTTTAAATTCAATCGCGTGCCATTCGGACTTAATTTTGTTCCGGAATTGTTTCAGCGTGAAATGATTAGAATGTTTGGATACATTGAGGGAGTTATAATCTATTTTGATGTCATAGGTATTTGCGGGGAAGAAGAACATGATCGCATCATGAATAAAGTAATTGAACGAGCGCGGGCAAATAATATTAAGTTTAATCCGGATAAAATCCAATTAGAAAACGGGCAATTAAATTTATGGGAAATATTATATCGGAAGGAAAATTTAAAGCGGATTTGAAGTATCGGGATGCAATCTTGGAAATGAAAAAACCGGGAGATAAAGCTAGCGTTCTAAGATTTTTGGGCATTCTTAAATATGTGGCAAAATTTATTCCTAATTTGTCAAAGCAATCAGCAAGGTGGCGCAACCTAACGCGTAATGATGTCGAATTTAAATGGACGGAAGATCATGAATTGGAGTTTAAAAATTTGCTTAATATCATAACATCTGAACCTGTGTTGGCTATCTATGATCCTAAGTTACCGGTCATTGTGCAAACGGATGCATCAAGAGGTGGGCTGGGTTGTGTAATGGTGCAAAACGGACACCCAGTAGCTTATGCATCTCGAACGTTAAGTAAAAGTGAACAAAAATGGCCTCAGATCGAGAAGGAGTTGTTGGCCATCGTTCTCGCTTGTCAGCGGTTTCATTATTTTTTGTATGGACGTGAGTTTACGGTTGAGAGTGATCACAAACCATTGGAGACGTTGATCAAACGGGATATTGACGATGTAACAATGCGACTTCAGCGGATGTTCATGTCACTTTTGAGATATGCGAAAATGACAGTAGTTTACAAACCCGGAAAAGAAATGCTTGTGGCCGACTGCCTTTCACGAGCTCAATTGTCAGAATGTACGGAAGATACGGAATTAACTGGAATTATTCATTCAGTCACTTAATCGGCATGTTTATCAAAACAAAATTTTGATTTGTACCGTTCAACAATTGAACATGATGAGCAATTGTTGAGAATTTGTCGATATGTGGAAAACGGTTGGCCAAACTATCATTTACTTGACGATATGAGCCGTGTGTTTCACAAGTTTAAGAATGAACTTCATTTTGAGAATGGCTTACTTTTTCGTGATCATAGACTGGTAATTCCAAAGGAGCTGCAAGAAAAACTCAGTAAGTGGTTACATGCGGCACATTTGGGAATTGAAAAAACTCTTGCACGGGCAAGAATGCTGTACTACTGGCCCAACATGAGCAGTCAGATAAAGGAAATTGTAACATCTTGTGCCATTTGTGAAAAGTTTACCCGTAGCAATCAAAAAGAAGAACTGGTTCAGGAAGAACCGCCGAAGTATCCATTTCATTTGGTGGCAGTTGACTTGTTTGAATATGCGGGGTAGGATTTTATGTCTTTAATTGATTCGTATTCGGGTTACCTAATCGTAGAACATGTTCAAAACAAAACAGCACGCCACCTTATTGAAAAATTGAAAGGTAATTTCAACAAACTTGGATATCCGACGGTAATCAAAGCAGATAATGTGCCATTTAATTCTAGAGAGTTTGAGGAGTTTGCGAATGGTCACAATATAATCATGAAATTCTCGAGCCCTCGATATCCACAAAGCAATGGACTAGCCGAAAAAGGTGTCGCGATAGCGAAAAATATTTTGAAACGTTGTGTTGAGGACCGGGATACGGATAATTATCAGTATCGTATTTTGGAGTATAACTCAAGTCCTGTGGCAAGCATGCGATTGGGTCCATCAGAGTTGTTTTTTGGTCGTTTGATAAAAACAAGAAAGCCGATTGCGGATTCGTTGCTGCGTCGCAACAATCTAAGTGAGGAAACTGTTCAGAACAAAATTAAAGAAAAAAAAAGAAAAGCAAAAGTATTATTACGACCGGAACGCAAAAGCATTGCCAGTTTTAAACATGGGTGATCTTGTTATATCTAAGAAGAATGGAAAGGTGTGGAACTACGGGACAATTGCAGGCAATGTAAATGGTCGATCATATATTGTTAGGGACAATTTTGATAATTATTTTAGACGCAACCGACGGTTTATTGCCAAGACAAAAAATAATGAAGTCAGTGGGGATGAGATAATGTTTGAAGAAAATATTAAACGTAATGTGTCAGAGCCGCGTAATGTAAAACCAATCGAAATTGTACCGCCACTTGCGTGCGACATACAAGATAGCGTTAACAGTGGCAGTAAACCAATTGGTGGCTATGTGGATGAACCAGTCCTGCCAGTGTTGAACGAGAGTAATGCATATTCAGATGAATGTCAAACTGCTGGCAGTTCTGATTCAGAAGCAGAATCGGCAAGCGGTCAAGAGACACCCGAACCGGTTATTGCAAAGGAACCGGAGGTTAGGAGAACTCGTAGCGGGCGCGCTAGTCGTGCACCTCAAAGATATGGTTGGAGTTAACTTGATGTAACTACCATATGAAACATATCAGATTATTGCTTACCTTACCACCGATGTTAATTTGATGAATTGTTAATTAAAAACAAGAAAAAAAAGCGTGTAATAATATTGTTAGTCAATAAATGTCACTGTCTGGGCAGTATTGAATATTAGGTGAAAAGTATGAACGCACCATCAATGTTTTGTATGAATGCACCCATCAACATATTGTATGAAGGCGGCCATAAATGTATTGTATGAATGTACCCAACAATATATTGTATGAACTCACCCATCAATGTTTTGTGTAAAAGCACCAAGGAAAATGTATTGGTATGAGAGGGTATCGCACATCACTAGCTCGAGTAAAAAATAAAAACTACCATTTTCACGTGTAATTAAAGTCTTTTAACTAACCCCTAAATACACAAACGTTACACTACTACTCGCAACGCTCGAGCAAAAGAGGAAAACCGCTCAGGTATATCAACAGATTCAATTGTGTGCAGTGATTCAATACGTCGTTGTTCCGGGGGTGCCGAATGTGGAGATGGGTTTTTTGGCCACAAAGTTGGGAGTTTTTGTAGCCATTCTGGGCCATTCCACTATAATGCGCATGTTGCAAGATCTTGGGGATGGCATCCGCGGGTGCCTAGATCGGCAGGATTATCTGCACTAGGTACATGCCGCCAAGTGGCATTGCTCACATTTTGGAGTATGAGCGAAATTCTATTGGCAACATA